GATCGGTAACTCCTGCTGGGAGCTCTACTGCCTGGAGCACGGCATCATGCCCGACGGCACCATGCCCGCCAAGTCTCAGGAGAACAACGATTCCTTCTCCACTTTCTTCAGCGAGGTGCGCTTGATCTGCATCCCCCGCCCCCCCCCCTCCCCCTCCCACCGCGCCACTGCCTCCCTCCCCTCGCCCAAACTAACACCCGTCCACACCCTCGCGCCGCCGTCCCCTCCCCTCCCACACAGACCTCGTCCGGCCGCTACGTCCCCCGCGCTGTCTTCGTCGATCTCGAGCCGTCCGTCATCGACCAGACCCGTACCGGTGCCTACCGCCAGCTCTACCACCCCGAGCAGCTGATCACCGGCAAGGAGGACGCCGCCAACAACTACGCCCGTGGTCACTACACCGCCGGTAAGGAGATCCTCGAGAACGTGCGTCCCCCTCTCCTCCTTCCCCCCCTTGTTGCAGCCCGCCACTCCGGCACACGACTGACCCGTTCCCTCCCCTAAACAAACACACGCACACGCACACGCGCACACATGCACACGCACACGCACACACACGCACACGCACACACACACGCACACACACACATAGGTCGTCGATCGCATCCGCCGCCTCGCGGACCACTGCTCCGGCCTGCAGGGCTTCCTCATTTTCCACTCCTTCGGTGGTGGTACCGGCTCCGGCTTCACCTCCCTCCTGCTGGAGCGCCTGTCGGCCGAGTACAGCAAGAAGTCCAAGCTCGAGTTCGCGGTCTACCCCTCGCCGGCCGTCTCCTCCTCCGTGGTCGAGCCCTACAACTCCATCCTCACCACTCACACCTCCATGGAGCACGCCGATGTCACCTTCCTCGTTGACAACGAGGCCATCTACGACCTGTGCCGCCGCAACCTCGACGTCGAGAGCCCCTCCTACGTCAACCTCAACCGCCTGATCAGCCAGGTGGTCTCCTCCATCACGGCCTCCCTGCGCTTCGATGGCGCCCTCAACGTCGACCTCACCGAGTTCCAGACCAACCTGGTTCCCTTCCCCCGCATCCACTTCCCCCTGGTCAACTACTCGCCGATCATCTCCCCGCCGAAGGCCATCCACGAGAAGATGTCCGTCGCCGAGATCTCCTACGCCTGCTTCGAGCCCCACAGCCAGATGGTCAAGTGCGACCCGCGCCGTGGCAAGTACATGGCCTGCTGCATGCTCTACCGCGGTGACGTCGTCCCGAAGGACGTCAACACCGCCATCGCCAACATCAAGTCCCGCAGCACCGTCCAGTTCGTCGACTGGTCCCCCACCGGCTTCAAGGTCGGCCTCAACTACCAGCCCCCGACCGTGGTCCCCGGCGGCGACCTGGCCCGCGTCCCGCGCTCCCTGTGCCTGCTGTCCAACACCACCGCCATCGCCGAGGCCTGGCAGCGCCTCAACGACAAGTTCGATCTCCTCTACGCCAAGCGCGCCTTCGTCCACTGGTACGTCGGCGAGGGTATGGAGGAGGGCGAGTTCGCCGAGGCCCGCGAGGACCTGGCCGCTCTCGAGCGCGACTACGAGGAGGTTGCCAACGATTCGGCCTCCACCGGCGACCAGGAGATGGAGTTCTAAGGGCGTCGCATGTGCCTATCGTCGTGCTGGTTGTTGTCGTCACTCCCCTCTC